ATAACTAACTCAGGGCGGCGAACATACCTAATACTCCTTCCTCCTCCTATTTTCCCCACAACAACAACCCTGTGAGGTGAGCTGGGCTGAGAGGGAGTGACTGGCCCAAAGTCGCCGAGCTGGCTTTCGTGCCTAAGACAGGACTGGAACTCACCATCTCCTGCTTTCTAGCTGGTGCCTTCACCACTAAACCAAACTGGTTTGTTCCTGTAGTTGTCAGTCAGTTAAATGAGCCAAAGGTTGGTAGGCCAGCTGTGTCACTACTGGCACGCTGGCAAAAATGAGGGTTCTGTTCTTTTTAAGTTGTGAAATGTTTTGGGATGAGTTTGGAAAAAAGGGTTCACAGGGTGCAGGAGCATGAATGTAGCCCTCATCTGCAACTCTATAAACCAGTTCCATCTCCTGGGATCACATGGCTGCCTTCTGGAGCGGCCACATGATCCTGGAAAAGAACCTGGTGGTTTTAAATTAAAAAAAAAAAAATTAAAAAAGATAATTAAAAATGATGGCTACATTTGTGTCCATCCACACACACCGGAACCAAATCTGAAGTTTGGTGCAATCCTAACGCTTATGAAGTTGTGAGCTGTGGTCAAGGGTTGCCTTATATCTTTAAAACTGGTGCAGTAGTTGGAAAATTGTTAACCCCTTGCCTTTTGTTGAGGAGGAGGAAGGAGAAGATGAGAGGAAACTTGTGGACAATCCAACTAGTGCCGTAACAGCCATTATACAGTTGTCAGAACTCTAATTTTGGATCGTCACTTTCTTTTGCTCCCAGAGGACGTGACGAGGATGCCTGATGGAGCCCAATTCCAAGCGACGGAAGACAGCAGAGCCCGATGGCGCCTCCTCTTGGGAAGTGCAGCCTGTTCTTTCGGAGCAGGAGTCTCAGGGAATCAGGCTAATGCCAGTCTATGCTGCCCCTGTCCTGGATAAGAAAGAGACGTGCCGCCTGGTGAAAGAGGTCTCTGCTGTCTACCCATTGAGTGACTACCCTCATCTGAAACGTATCCGTGCCTGTCTCTCTGTAGGCAGCCCCCACCCGCTGGAGATCATCTTGTGTCTTGCAAGCCTCAATGGAGAGCAGGCCGGCTTGCGGTCTCTCACTGAACTCTTTCCCAGCGGCCAAGTAGACCTGTGTGGTTTGGGGAAACCTTTCTTGGCCCAAGTGCCGGCTTGTGCACCTTTGACTCGTCCCCAGTACGAGGAAGCTGTGTTGCACTGGCCTGTCTCCTTCCACGAGAACAAGCGGATCACCCAAGCTCTGAAGGGCTGTCTTTTTTCTCCCCTGGAAAAGGCTGCCATGCAAAATCACATGGAGTTGGCCATCCACACAGCACAACAGGGAGCAAGGCAGGGCATGGAGCCCGTAGGAGCTGCGGTGGTGGACCCGGCCACTGGCCGAGTTTTAGCCGTGGGACACGACTGCAGAGGCGGCTCTAACCCGCTTCTCCATGCTGCAATGGTCTGCATTGACCTCGTGGCCCATAGCCATGGAGGGGGAGCATATAGTTATAAAGATCATCCTGCTTGCACGTTTCTTCATGTGGACAACAATGCCCAGCATCCTCCTCTTGGGGATGGCCTTCCGTACATCTGCACCGGGTATGACATGTACTTAACCCGGGAACCATGCATGATGTGTGCTATGGCACTGGTGCATTCCCGCATCCAGAGGGTGTTCTACGGAACACCGTCCCCTCACGGGGCCCTGGGCACAGCACACCACATCCACAGCCGGAGGGACCTCAACCACCGCTATGAAGTCTTCCGAGGGATTCTGGAAGATCAGTGCAAACGCTTGGCGCGGCTTTCAGATCACAAGGAATCAGGATGAGAGACTGTTTGAATGGGAAGGCTCTTCTTTTCATGCTTCTGTTGATTATGTATTTTTTTTAAAAAAGATACCTGAAGGATGGTTTCATGTTTGTGGTGATTAAAAT